CCTGCTCGCTCGCGTCACAAAATCCGTGGATTTCTCGCCTGACCACGTTATTTACGACCGCGATAGTACGAGGTATACGAATGGAGGCTAACGCGGAGAGCTCCGACTTGTATCTTTCCCATTTAGAACATATCTCTGAGGGAGGCCTGTCGTCCCACTCTACTTTGAGCATCCAGAGTTGCTGGATCAATCGTTTGGCCATAAATGTAAGCGGGGTCAGAACCCCAATGGATCAAAGATGCGAGCTAATTCAGAGAGAATGGTGCGTTTGGTGCAATCTCTGTCCAACGGATTGACCTGAAATCCGAAGTCGTCCGTTTGAGGGTACCAACGAAGTCCAAGGACCTTAAGAAACTGATCTTCCGGCGATTCAAAGGATAGTAACGACTGGCTGTAGAGTTCCGGATCCAGATCAGCTAAGACCGATGGATGGCTACTGGCCCATTTTCTGAGTTCGAAGCCGGCAGTTTTAAGCAAGGCTTGTAGTTGCCGCTGAAGCTCGCGGGCCTTCTCCACTGACTCGACACTTGTCACCACATCGTCGACGTAGACGCTCTCTTTCAAGGCAGCCGCGGCCAATGGGTAACTTGTCTTGCCTTCGGCTGCTAACTTTAACATGCAAGCAATCGCTATGAACGGAGAGCATGTCAATCCGAAAATGACAGTCAACAAAAGGTAGTCCGAAATCGGATCGTTTTCTGAAAAACGTCACACTATTCGTTGATAGTCACACTGGCCGAGTTCGACCAATATCTGAAGGAACATCTGTCTGACATCCGCGGTGAGCGCCACGAGACCGAGCCGGAACATCAATAATATCACAACTATGTCTGATTGTAATTTGGGACCGGATCGCAACATTTGATTCAGCGAGACGCCGTTCAGATCCTTAGCCGATCCATCAAATACGACGCGCAATTTCGTAGTCGTGCTATCCGACTTGAATACCCCATGATGGGGTAGGTAAAAGACAGGTCCGTCCACTGGGAACGGCTGCTTGATCAATTTCATATAGCCATTATCTAAGTAATCCTGCATGAATTTGCTGTAATTTATTTTGAATTCTTTATCCGCTTTGAAGCGACGCTCAAGTGCGCGAAATCTGTTCACGGCTACTTGACGCGTGCCAACGAAACAAGGTTTATCCTTTATGAAAGGATACGATACTACAAATCGACCAGATACATCGCGACGCGTGGTCTGCGCAAATAATTCCTCGCAACGTCTATCTTCCTGTGAATACGGCGAAGCCGTGGGAATCTCGTCTAACTGCCAAAATCGACTGAAAGACGCGCCTAATGAATCGAGAGTCAGGAACGAGTGTGTAGACCGAGATGCCTGCGTCGACACCGAACCGACTAGAACCCAACCGAAAATGGAATTAAAGGCGTTTGGTTCGCCCTTCTTCCCTACACGACGACCGTCTCGAAGCAATGACGTAAAGCCCGTATCAGACTACCGACTGCGAAGGCCGACCCGACTGCCGATCCCGACTGCCGACTCACATCTAGCCAATCACAACGAGGCGCCGACTGACTGGATCGGCCGACTCGCATTTAGACCCTGCTCTATTTCTTGACTCAACGACTCAAAGTCGGAACCAATAGAAATACAATTTTCGATCACGTGATAGTTTAGTTGTGATGTTGTGAATAAACGACGATGAAAGATGGCCGGTAAAAAATACGTATGGCCTCGCGATAGCGAGATACTTTTAATTCAAGAGGTAAAAGAGAGACCTCAGCTGTGGGATCCATCGCACCCTGATTATGCGAAGGCATATAAAAAGTCAATCCAATGAGATGAAATAGCGAAAAAGTTAAGCACTTGCGTTGACGGTAAATAAAAAATAACCTTTTATACAATAGTTTGTAATCTGATCACATAATATAAAAACCGACGTTACAATATATACTAGCGTTAAATATCGTGTAAAGTATTATATGTACATACGACGGTGTTATATGTAATTTGTTTTTTTATTTTCAGCAACGATGGTAAAAGATCGTTTTGATAATATGAGAACCACTTATCAAAGAAATTATAACAAAATTAAACAATCAATGAGAAGTGGGAAAGGATCAGATGACATTTTTCAACCAAAATGGGATCTTTATCCCTTTTTAACGTTTCTGAAAAAAAATTGCGTTCAAGCAAGTAGCAGTTCAAATTTGGATGTTACAAATGAGTGTGTAGACTCACACCTGACATCTGATGACACTGAATCGACAATAATTTTAGAAGAAAATCATAATGCGTACTTTGATGAGACATTACAAGTGAGTATAATTTCAGTGTATAAAATAATGATATTTATATACTGTAAAAGTGAGGTTATATAGAATAAATTCTACAAATAATTTGTTATTGTTATTAGCAATGGTTATTGATTCCAAAGGACATCCAACCATCGGAAGAATATACTGAGCTGGTTGATAGTGGTGATAAAAATAAGAATACAACCACTGTTCTTTGTCAACAGCAGTATCCAAGTTCACAAGTGCTTTCAAAATCTCCATCGCCATTACCAAGGCCTCTATCAGTATCTTCAAAGTCTACTTCTGCACCTAGATGTGCCAGTGCTAATCCAGCAAGTACTAGCACAAAGCGTTCTAATTCTAGTATTGAGGATGGCGATTTATTCGTGAAAAGAAGAAAAAAAAGTAGCGGTAATACATCAAATGTTATGGAAGAAGCAGTTTCTGCTATGAAACAATTATCAAAAGATTCCACTGTCCAAATGGATACACATGACCATTTTGGTGCTTATGTTGCGGCTCGTTTAAGAGCTCTGAATGCAGAGCAATGGCAAAAAATTGAATTAGAAATAATGAAACTTTTTACTAATATTCCCTAATATCTCTAAATTTTATTACAATTTGACATTTTTTCTTGCTTTGTTTTTATTTGACTAGCCTTATTTTTATTTTATTTAATATTATATATTTTACTTATTTACTAGTCACGAGGCTATCAGAATCTTTCAAAAA